ATAAAATTTTTAACTTGTTTTTTAAGAAAAATTCATACACTGCACTAATTTTATGAAGAAACAATACGCGTTACAAGGCATGTAAAATCAGTCCTCATAAAGTCCAGTTCCCTAAACACAATTTTACTATCACAATTCTTCAGTAATTGTTTTTAAACAATTTACGCACATTGATCAATCTTGAAACTTCAAAACTCGAGGCACAACGTCATGCCATCTCAGTGGAGTACAGCGTCAACGGGGGCTGCTTCCCTCCTGTTGCGTTTGTTGTGCTCCACGTGCACCACCTCACGCAGCATGCCCCGCAGCGCCGTCTTGTCCACGACGAAGAGCTTGTCGTCGCGGGGCGTGGTCGGGCGCTCCGCCGACGGGCCGGCAAGCGTGGGCGGCGTGGACGGCCGCTGCCGCTCCTTGTTGATGCTGTGCGCCTGTCGGCGCGACGGGTGGGGGGGGGGCGTCATTGTTGTTTGGGATTCTGAAATGAGAGTCGTTTCCGTGGCGGTGCTCGAAGATGTGGGCGGTACCGGGCTGGGTGATTTTGTTATACTAGGAACGTTTGTTAATTTATTTGTGTTGTTTGCTTGCAATTGATTGTTATGATCGGTTGAATTTTGAGTGGTGGTGTTTGATTTCGAATCACTCACGTTCGTAGCAATTATAACTAACTGCTCAGCTTTAGCACCTAACATTTCTGCATCTTCTGCTGGAATTATAAGGTCAAATGACGCAGATTCAATTGCTACTGGTTTGCTGCTACTTATTACCAACACTGGCTCGGGATTTAATAAATTACTGACTAGTGCTATCGTAGGAATTACAGCATCGCTAGTGTTTGTACTGTTATTAGGTATTTTTCTTTGTAAGGTCAGCTCTGCACTTGACACGGTGAACTGAGTCACGTTTCCGGTCACATTTACTTCACTGAAGATCAGGATGTTAGCCATGTCAATATCACGTTGCACATGACCCACGTTGAAAGCATTGGAGGAAGAAAATGTGTTGGAAAAAACTAGAGGTTTACAAGATTTACCACACTCGCATATTTTAAGAGAAATCAGAGCTCGTGCGTGGTTGACCTGTAAAAGAAAAACATAACTTTACAGGTGAAAGTTTTTAAGAAACTCTCTAAATGACTACTTAAGGAGTTGTAAATGTTTGATCAGTTGTAAAATAATCCGATCAAAATAACATTTTAACAAAAAATAAAGAATTATTTGATAATGCATAATGCATCATTGATAAAGTTTGATTTACAACAATTGCCATTTAATTATTAATCATAAAATCAAAAATTCTATTTTTTGTGGTGAGTTTCGGGCCATGATGTCCTCTCTTCTGTTAAACCGTATCAGTAAGTTTACACGATTTTGAATTTTTTTAGGAATAATTTTGAAATAGGAAGGACCCAGTCTGGGTCTGTTATGGAAAAGGTCATCCAGTCAATTACCTTCGGCCATTGGACGATCACAGAAAATCAATCATGGCTTAAATTTGAAATTATAGGGTGAAGATGAAAGGTACTGAGAGCACCACGAGAAAATCAAATATAAAAGATGCAGTATCTTCTTGCTCGTAAATTATTATACTCAAGATTTGTGCTTAGGTGTCTTGAGATATAACTTACAGTTCACTCAAGAAACTAATGACCATAGCAATTGACTTGCCCGGAAACACAACTAATTAATCTATTGGCTGCTCACAGACGAAATTAAAAATAAAATAAGAACGATGGAGAAAGAACTAAGTGAGAAAAAAGGAAACAATTTATTTTAGAAATAAATGTGAATTTTGTGAATTATGAAATGAATTTGAGGGATGATGTCCCTGATATATCAATTTCTCCACCTCCTTCAGTTTTCGTTTAGGTGTAAGATATATCTTGTAGTCAAATTTTTTCTATACATAGTTATCACATATTTAATCAAAATATTTGTTTTCTAAAGAGTAAACAAGTAGATTTAGAATAAAAATTAAATCAAGAACGAAAAACATGACTTCTTTCCGGTCTTTCCACAGAACGATAGATATGTGATGATTTTAATACAGGGATTCATCCTTAGTAGAAACGCTAACTTTTGTTAACATTGCATTTCATTATATTATGTTTAAAAATACATAATATATTAAAAAAACATCCAATGACATTGAGAAATATTTGTTCTTGTTTCTAATCTTCAACCTTTGAAAAACGCCGATTCATTGACCCATCCCTTAAAGAGTCTTAGTTGCTCATTTAGAACACCTACTCTCCCACCTATTCCAACTTATTTTAACATCCAAATTCTCGCTGCGACAGACATCTTACCACTGTTACATTAATCTGTTACATATAGTTAAAAAAAACCCTCCCTTTACGTGACAAATTGGAAAAAAAATTAATTTCAGAGTATACATTTAAAAACTAGTACACTAGTAGAACACGTTAAGATAAATTGAATGGAAAAAACCAGAATCCAACCAAAATAATAGTTTACGAGTTACTTTTGCATTTAGCCATATTCGTATTTTGCATGCAACTCTGAAACTATTAACTTTAGCGGATTACATGCGAAATACGACTATGACTAAAGCAAAAGTTCAGAATACATTCCCTTTACGTGACAAATTGGCGAAAAAATTAATTTCAACGATTAGTTTTGAAAACAAATGTATTAGTAGAACACGTTAAGAGAAATTGAAAGGAGAAAAAAAAAATCCGCTCAAGTAAATAGTTTAAGAGTTACATCTGAAATACGAATATAGCTAAAAGCAAAAGAACAAAGTCCCCCCCCCCATTACGTGACAAATTGGAGAAAAAATTAATTTCAATGCATAGTTTTGAAAACAAGTGTATTAGTAGAACAAGTTAAGAGAAATTGAAAGGAAAAAACAAGAATCCGCTCATGTTAATAGTTTCAGAGTTACATGCGAAATACGAATATGGCTAAATGCAAAAGTACAAAGTACCCCCCCATTACAAAACAAATTAACGAAAAAATTAATTTCAACGCATAGTTTTGAAAACAAGTGTATAAGTAGAACAAGTTAAGAGAAATTGAAAGGAGAAAACGAGAATCAGCTCAAGTTAATAGTTTCAGAGTTACATGCGAAAAACGAATATGGCTAAATGCAAAAGTACAAAGTACCCCTCCATTACGTGACAAATTGGAAAAAAAATTAATTTCAACGCAGAGTTTTGAAAACAAGTGTATTAGTAAAACAAGTTAAAAGAAATTGAAAGGAGAAAACGAGAATCCGCTCAAGTTAATAGTTTCAGAGTAACCTTGCGAAATACGACTATGGCTAAATT